ATAACTTATGAACTTGAAACTTGAAAGTAATTTTTAAATTTTGGATAGTATTTCTTTCAGAAATATTTATTAAGTGCCTGCTGTGTGTCAAATAATATTCTATGATACAACAGTGAATTAAAACCTACAGAGCAATTGTCATTCTATTGGGAAAAATATATGCTAAGGAAAAACTTGCAGTATGAATTTTAAATGTTGTAGCATGAGTTATTTGTTATATATAGTTATTTGTTGTATATAATATTTTAATACAGTGTTTTACTTATCAAGTGATATATGTTTAATTTTGCATTTATCTTTGGTGTTTTCTGATCTTCTAGAATCTCTTGCTTGGTGGCTGACATTAATTGGGATATGTGTAATAATTATTGTATCAAGTATCCCTTCTGGTGTTCTCATTATGCTTATTTATACCTGTTATAGTTGTTCCACAGTTATTAGATATTCCTTTCTAGATATCCCCCCTTCCTGTCTGTATTTTTCAGATTCAAAAGTTTCCATTGATATATCTTCAAGGTCAGAGCTTCTTTCCTCAGCCGTGTGTAGTCTACTGGTAAGCTCATCACAGGCGTTCTTCATTTCTGTCACAGTATTTTTGATCTCTAGTATTTCGTTTTGATTCTTTATTAGGAGTTCCACCTGTGTGCCTGTCTTTCTCAGCTAATGTTGGGTATTGTCTATTTTTTTCTATTAGAGCCCATCGCATATTAATTATACTTGTTTTAAATTGCTCATCTGTTAATTCCAACATTCCTGACATCTGTCTTTGTAAACCTTCTTTGGCTGTTAGTATACTTTGTAGTTTTTTGATGAAACTGGACACAATGTGTACTTGAGGAAAAGAAATTCCAGTAAGTTGGCGTTTGTGGAGAAGCTGGGGTAAGGACATTCTTTAGTCTAGGGCTTAGGTCTGTCTTTAGTGATTCTGTGCCTCTGGGCTGTGATTTTCAAAAGTACTTGTTAGTTTTTCTTCCCTTTAGATAGGAGAGGATGGTGGTTAGAGGAGACTAGGGTTGGGGAGTTTCCCTTTGTCGTTGAAGGGTGACAGCATGCTAGAGTTGGGTGTATCTTTAATTTACATTTAACTAAGAAAAAAAAGCAAGACTTTTCAAAGATGTCTTAAATAAAATAAATGTCATTGGTTATTTCTTTATCCTCTTTTTATTTGACTTTGTAGCTTTGCACAGAACTGACCATATACACTTCACACATTTTTAAGCACTTTGATCTCTTGATTCCATGTATTCCTGGTGATGATCTCCACTTTTCCATACCAGGGATTTGAACCCAGAACTTCATGCATGCTAGGCAAGCATTCTACCACTGAGCTCCAGCTCTTTATTTTCACACAGGGTCTTGGTCAGTGGCCCAAGCCGCTGTCCAATTTATGATCCTCCTGCCTCAGCATCCAGAGTTAATAGAATTATGGGCATGTGTTACTAAGCCCAGCCTTCACTGGTGATTTTTTTCCTTCTCCTTTTTGGGCCCGTCTCTTTTATAGCTCCTTTCTTCTGCTCACATAAATGTGAGTGGATACCTAGGTTTGGTCCTGGGCGCCTTCCTCCTCTTTGTTATATTTTCTTCCTATATAAACTTCTCTAGTCCCTGGGCTTTAAATACTATTTATATGCAGTGACTTCCCAACATAATATCTCTAATTATAACTCACTTGAATTCTCTTGCCTGTCTAGCTGCCTCCACTTGGATAGCTAATAGTCACTGCAAATATAACATATCCCAAACAAGACTTTTTAGATTTTTCTCCTTCAATCTTTTGTTTACCCAGGTCTTTCCCATTTCAGAAAACAGCACCACTCACCGTCTAGTTGCTCAAGCCAAAAGCCTGAGTCATTCTTGATTCCTTTTTTAAGCACTGCAAAATCTTGCCCATCAAAAGTTTGGTTGACTCTACCTTGAAACATGTTTTAAAGTCATTATTTTTCTTCATTTCTGCTACCACTTCACTAGTCCAGGCCAACAGTAGCATTTCTTGTTTGGACTGCTTTAGCTCCCTAGCTGTCCCTCTGCTTCCAGTCTTGCTCCATGAAGCCTTTCTTTCTCCACAGAAGAGTCGGTATACTTTTGTTTTCTTTTTTTGAGACAGGGTCTCCCTTTTTAGCTCAGGCTGGCTTCGAGCTGGTGGCAGACCTCTTGCCTCAGCTTCCTGAAGGCTGGGATTAAAGGCGTGTGCCACTAGGCATTCACCACCATTGATTTTTTTTTTTTTTAAATGTCAAGTAGATTAAATTACTGCCTCACCCAAATCTCTAGTGGTATTTGCCTTGTATAAAATGTCCATAGTTTGGCCTTATCTACCCCTCTTTCTATCCCCTTCCCCATTCTCCCTCTCCATTCTCTTCTGTCTCCGTCTCTCTCCCTGTCTCTTCCTTGTTCATTACCTTCTAGACATATTTCCCATTTTTGTTCCACAAACACACCCAATGTATTCCTGCCTCAAAGCTATTAGTTACCTTTTCTACTTGGAAGGCACATACCTTACATTCTTGTTATTTTCACTTTAGGTCTCTGAGCAGATGTCACTAGGCAGGAGGCCTGTAAATTTAAATTTACTCCTACCCCAGTGTAGTCATGCTCTGTATTTTGTTTAATTTTCATAAAAATACTTTTGAAATCCTTATTTACTTGATCTTTTCTTATTTATTCTATAGCTACCATTTGCTTGAATGTAAGTTCTGTGAGAGGAAAAACCTTATTTCTCATGTTTAATTCTGTCTTTATGGTACCTAGCTTAGCTGCTGTCACATTTTGCTCAAAAATTACACCAGTTGAAGTAGTGAATGCTTGCTTTTAGGTTGAACGTATATTCAGTGGAGATTAAAAATCTAGCTTTTACCAAAAGAACACAAAAATCACTTCGCTGACTTTACATTGGCTACTTTTCATTTTCTGCTTCAAAGGGGTGAACGTACATTTTAACTTTATTTTTAAAAGATAAAATAGGTTTTTCTTTAGCTATCATTCATAAGTACTTCTCTTTAAATAACACGTTGCAGTATGGATAATCTTTATGCCTCAGATGAAAACCAGATGGCTTTATTTGTAGCTGTTTTTACTGCCTTTTGAAAAGTCGGATTCTGAAATACTAGAGACACTTAAGTATTATAAACAACTTGTGATCGTATGGATTACAGCTTGTGGGACTAATGGAAATCATCTTGAATTTAACAGAATCATTGTTTACTATTTTGTGCTTTTTCACTTAGTTTTCCTAACCTATTTTGCCTTTAGCCAATCGACCATTATGCATATATATGCCATAGTACTCAAGAATAAACACAATTTAAAACTGTATAGTGGCCCAAACCATTATTCAGCATTAACCTAAATGATAACCTCAGTGACTTTTAATGGTAATCACTCCACTTTCCACTATTCCTGAGCGTTGTAATACCTTCTGAATATATATGTCATAAGATTCCCAAATTGGTGTTTTAAATTAATTTTTAAAAGTCTATTTAGTATTTACTTAAAATTTTTTTTTGTACTGGGAATCAAACTCAGGACCTTGTGCTTGCCAGGCAGGCGCTGTGCTGCTGAGCTATGTCCCCGGCACTTTTTAGTTTAAATTTGAGTTAGTCCACTTTACCAATTTTTTTTTTTATGGATAATGTTTTTGGTATGACAAAAACTCTGACTCAATGTTTTGTTTTTCTTTTTAAAGAAGTTTTATACTTATAGGTTTATTCATTTAGATCCATGATTCATTCTGATACATCTGACTACATTAGTATAAAGTGTGCAGTACATGGTAAGGCCCTTTATTTATTTATTTCAGCCTATTGCCTGTTCAGTTGTTCCAAGCCATTTAGTAAAACAAAGCAAAACACCAGGCAGTTAGCCGTGTGTGTGTGTGTGTGTGTGTGTGTGTGTGTGTGTGTGTGTGTATCTGAGTGTGCTGTTCTTTTCATCAATCTACGTACCTATTCTTTGGCCGATTAAGTACTGTCCTTTATTGTAAATTGATAGGTAGTGTGTGTCTTCAACTTGTTTCTTCAAAATTGTTCTTCAGAATTTTGATTACTGCAGTTCCTTTGCTTTTCCATTAAAGCTCTGAGTCAGCTGGGAATCCTGCCCAGTTTTTGATTGAGATTATGTTTAATCTTATAAATCAGTCTGAGGAGAATTAACATCATAATAACGAACAGTGTCATCCAGGAGTAGAGTGCATTGTTCTGTTTCTTTAAGATCACCCTGGTAATTTCCGTTGATGTTGTCTATAAATTATGCACACATTTTGTTAGATTCATCCCTACATTTTGTTTTGTTGGTACTGGGTCTTTTGCATGCTGTGGTCTACCACTGAGGTGCATTCCTAACCCTTCCTGAGTAATGTTCTTATTACTACTTTAGGAGGTTTTGGAATTATTGCTCGCTTTAAAATTTCTGTTTTCAGCTTTTTATTTCTAGCGTAAAGAAAGAGAAATGATTTTGTGTGTTGACCTTGTCTTTGCTGCCTTATTAAACTCACTAGTTCTAGGAGGTTGTTTTAAGATTTCCTGAGATTTTCTACATAGAAAATCATGTTATGTGTGAATAGTTTTATTTATTTTCTCATAAATGTTTTATTTCCTCTTTTATTTCTTCTTACCCTCTTGCACTTAATAGCTTCTCTAGTATGACATGGAATATGAGTGACAGGAACAGATACTTTGCCTCATTCTCAATTGAGGGTAAGAAAAATTCATTCTTTCACCACTAATCCTGACTGAGGTATAGGCTTTTGTAGAGAAACTTTTCTTTTTTTTTTTTTTTTTTTACTGTTTTTTTTTTAGAAATAAAAGGAGGAAAATACTAACAGATTGACAACGTTTTACAAAATAGCAAAGGATCAGTACAGACATTACAGAGTTACAAACAGAGTGGTAGGGAATTAACAATGCTTATTGTATTACATATTGATATCTTCAATGTAGATAGAGAAAACTTCACTATGTTAAGACTTTTCTGTCTTCTTTATAATTTGATTTTACTTTTCTTATCATGAATCAATATTGAATTTTCTCAACTGCTTTTTCTGCATCTAGGGAGGTAATATTTTTAATAATCTTGTGATATGGTAAATTTAGGTGATTAATTGTTTTTTCTTTACTGTTCAACCTGTCATGGAGAAGGACTGCATGGGAATAAGCCATACTTGGTTGTGACATATTATCCTTTTCATATATAGCTCTATTTGTTTTAAAAATAGTAATTTTTAATAAATACTATTTATTTTAAAAATAGTAATTAAATCAAATATTGTCACTTATACCTATATAAATCCTCATAGGATTTAAGAGAGCTTAAGAGTCATGACCCATTGGCTTATAAATTCAGTCAACAAATACATGACAATTGCTATGTACCAGACATTCTGGTGCTGGAGATTAGAACATTGAACACAATGCTGCTAAAGCTATATTCCTTCCTAGAATGTAATGCAATGGCAGGTAGTGATTGTGCTATGAAGTCAACAAGGGTAAGGCAATGGAGAATAAATTGAATGAGGAGATAAAACAATTTTAAATATATTGGTTAGGGGAAGAATTAAGGAGACCTTAGTGCAGAAACATACATGGAGTGAAGATGCCAGACATCTTACAGTGTTGTTTTAGGCAGAGAGAATAGAAAGCACAGTCACTGTGTCAGAAACTTGGTGTTTTCCACCTGGAGTACAAAGGCCAGTGTTTTTAGAGTTTTGGAACCCATGGAGAGGCTTGTGGAAGATATAGCCAGGGGCTTGCTAATAGAGAATTTTTAGCCATATACAGTGGCAACTACTTATTTATTCACCAGATATTTATTGAGCACTTGCCATATGTCACATATATAGGATTTTAAAAAACAGTAATCCAAGCCTTCCTAGAGCTTATAAGTATTAGCAATAATTCCTGAGAAACCACTTAGAAGATATCAATACGTAATACGACAACCATTGTCAATTTCCTACCACTTTGTCTGTAATTCAGTATTGCTTGTATTGTTCTTACGCTATTTTGTAAATGGGTGTCTGTTTGTTAATATGTTTTCCTTCTTTTATTTTTAAAATAAATTTTTAAAAATGTAATTTTTCATGTAATATGAGCATAGCCAGCAGTGGTATTCAGTTGGCTACTATTGTTACACAAAACGATTGCATATCTAAAAAATTTAAATAACTAGAATAAGTTCACTCATTTTATTTGAAAATACATAAAAGAGAAATACCTATTTTTATGAATGTCACAGAAACTTATTTCAGGCTAGGATTTTTTATTTTTTTATTTTTTTTGGTTTTTGGTTTTTCTCCGGTACCGGGAACCGAACTCACGACCTTGCGCTTGCCAGGCAGGCGCTTTGCCGCTGAGCTAAATCCCCAGCCCCAGGCTAGGATTTTTTAATAAGGATACATTTCGAGCAAATCATAGAATAGAGGCTGTGATATGGCTGGGTCTTTCAAAGACTGGATCCTAAAAGTCTTTACTCATATCCAAGTGTATTACTTATCTATGCTGTGTAAGAAAATATTCTAAAGTGTAGTGACTCAAAACCCTGATCATTTCATAGTTTTCTTTGTGTTCAGAATCTAGGCTGAAGGTCTGTCACAAGGCGGTTTATCATCAAGTAGTTGGTAAGAGCAACCGTCATTTTAAACTTGGTAAATTCTGCTTCTCAGATTCCTCACTTGGCTGTTGTCTGGCAGTCTTCAAGTCCTTGGTCTCTTTTGGCTGGAGGTATCCTTTCTTTGCTCTTGATCTTTTCAGCTCACATGAAGTTAGCTTCCCTGAAAGCAGGTAACAAAATGGAAGCCACAATTTCTTTATAACTTACATCTCAGAAGTCACATCCATCATTTCTGCTGCATTAAATCACTCAAAGTCAGTCAGCTAAATCTGGTTCATACTCAAGAAGATGACAGAGGCATTGAATGTCAGAAGGTGGGGTTATTAGGATTGCTTTAGAAGACTCCTGTCCTACTAGCTAAATCTCAGCGCTCTCACCAGTTTTTATATGTTTTTTTCTACTTCTTTATGCTAAGTGGGTCTTAGCCATTTTCAATCTGCATTGCTTTCCCTATCAGTTATGTTTTTCAACTAAAAAAAATGTGTTTTTCCCTACTTCTTATTTTTAGTTTCCTTTTATCTTTAGGGACCAAGATGAGATGTCCCACCTCATGTTATTTCTTTTCTTTTCTGTCTTTTTTTTTTTTTCTGTCTTTTTGAGACAGGGTTTCATTGTGCAGTTCAGGCTGGCCTTGAACTCACTATATATCCTAGCCTAGCCTGAACCTCACAGCAGTCCTCCTGCCTCAGCCTCCCCAGTGCTGGGATTACAGGTGTGTAACACCACACCCAGCCAGCCTCATGTTATTTCACTTCCTGTCCCCTGCTGATAACTACTTTGATTATATCCATAGTACCCTCTTCACAGTTTTTAGAGAGAGAATAGGTAGGTTTGGTGAGAGATAAGAGTATTATATCTTTTGAATATTACTGTACCATCAGCAAGAACTGTGATTAAGGCAGGATCCTTCAGAAAACTGTAGATACTATGATTTCAGCACTGAACATAAATACTAAATACTATTGCAGATCTTTGTAGATTACAAAGTATAGGTCACTGAGTTGATCAAAAATAACTTGGATCTTGAAACAAACTGCTTAATATTTTATAATAATTTTTCTATTTTCATAAAAGGAAATTGTAAAATGCAAATAAAATTTATTTTTGTTTTCCTAGTTTTTAAAATGTTTAGGATAAATGGGTATCTATTATATATAGAGTTATTGCTTATTTTTGAGATTTTTATACACGTGTATAAATTTTTAGACATAAATTATGGAGAGAACTATACAGAAATCTCCATGTTGTTTGATGGCATTATATAGTAAAGTATATGCATATGTACATAATATATATAACAGACATCACTGAGAATTAACTGTTGACATTGATTTTGCATTTATTCTTTTTCCCCTAGGGAAAAAAATTGTAGTTAAAATATGAATCCTCTTAAACCAACATTCTGGGTTTTATTTCCAGAGACTTGATGCAACTCTTGTTAAGTGTTTGCTGGGTATTTTTCTGGCTCACTTTTTATTCTTGTAAACTGTACCCACATGCCAACATATATATGATATGGTTATGTGTTTGTGTATTTGTATGATACTATATATGTCTTTTTTTTATTTTTGACTTAATTGCTTTTCAGGTCTTTTCATAAATTATTCTTTAACTTTCAACACTTTATTCCATGTTTTATTACTCATCAAAGTTGTTTTGAAAGGATGTTTTGCTGTTATAAACTTTGTTCTCTTTTGTATCTTTGACAAACATTTTCTACTTGATGGACAAATTACTGAGCAATGTATGGTCTTAGTAGATGTAAGACGTCTTGTTTAACCTCATCCTCGTGAAAAATGATGTCAGACTTGAACGATTTTTGTCAGTTTGGTGGTTGGAAAAGTAGACTCTTGCTTTGTTAATCCACATGTGCTTCATTACTGGTGTGCTGAGTGGTCCGTTTTCTGACCATTTGGATGTCATCATCCGCGAGGTCCCTTCCTGCTTTTCCCTTTACCCATCTGGAGTTCTTTATGTCTCCTGGATATTAATACTTGGCTGTTAGATGTGTTGTAGATAAATGCCTTATTCTAGTCTATTACTTGCCTTTAATCATTTGTGATGCTTTTTAACGTAGAAGTTTTTGTACCCTTTTTTCCTGTCTTGGTCATTTGTGTGAAGATTTTGCAAAAATAAGAATTAAGGAAGGGTTAAAGCTAGTATATGAAGACATATAGTATAAGATTGGCCAGTTAAATAACTATCAACTATCATATATGTTTGAACAAAAATTATAGAGTATCACAGTTCCAAATTATTTAGATATCTTTAAAAGTATGTAATTGTTAATGATGTAAAAGTTTTCCGTAACAATTGAAGATTTATAATTTTTAATGATAGTGAGTTACCTTTTCTGCAAATCAGAATATAAGGCTTCACACTTTTTCTTTTGATAAAATACAATGCAGTTTATTTATTTATAGGATTAATGTATAGTTGGCATCTGGCAGTCTCCTATATTTTTCAGGAGGAAGTAATGCCTTCTACAGTGATAACTGTTGAAATTCGTTTGTGCAGAGGAAAAAAAAATGGCAGATATATTTTTTGAGGGAAAATCTATACATATTAGAGATAGGCAAATTCTCATTATCATACCATTTTTAAGAGCTGTGAATTTAGGTTTTTATTTGTAGATCAGTTCATTTAGGTCTCCTTATGAAAATACTTAGTATATTTTAGTTCTTACTGTTATTACTTTTCAGATTTTAAAATTAAATTCTAAGCCGGGTGTGGTGGCCTATGCCTATAATCCCAGCACTTGGGAGGCTGAGGCAGGAGGATCGTTGCGAGTTCGAGGCCAGCCTGGGCTACAAAGTGAGCTCAAGTCCAGCCTGAACTGCATAGTGAGACCCTGTCTCAAAAAAAAAATCAAATTCTGGAATGGGGGTTTATATTTCACAAAGATAAATCTTTTTGATGAAATTGTGAGATTGAGTCTCAATTTCAAGTATGATAAGATTCCAAGTAGAATAATTTCTTTTGATCTCACTAAACATTATCAAATATGGAATTCTGAAATATAATCACATCCCCAGTTTTTTGTCAAGCATTGTGATAAACTTTCTTTTCTTTTTTCTTTTTTTTTTTTTTTTGAGTGATGGGGATCGAACTCAAGGCCTCATGAATGCTATACAAGTTCTCCACCACTGAGCTATACTTTTACCCAGTAGTGTGCATCTTTCATTAGAGTTGTAGCTGTTAAACCCATAGTCAGAGGGAGGAATGATAGCTGAGTCCTTGATTAGATAAAGTTGGAAGACATAAAGGAAGAGTTTGGTTTTATTTATATTTTAATCAGTAACATCAAGATATTTGTTGCTCTTGGAAAAAGTTAGAAGCATAAAACTTTTTCTAGATATTTGATCATTTATTTTTATATTATTTTAGGTTTCCAGTGATTATCTGCAGGAATCGCCATGACCCCAGCTCTGAGGGAAGCCACAGCAAAGGGTATCTGCTTTTCATCTTTGCCAAATACCATGGAGTCTGAGAAGATACTATGCATGGAAAGTGCAAGAACTATAGATGAAAATCTAAAGGGAGACACTTTCTCTCAGTTGCTGGGATTTCCAGCCCCTGAACCTACTCTTAACACTAATTTTGTGAATTTAAAACGTTTTGGCTCCCCCCAGCCTTCAAAACATTATCAGACAGTTCTTTTAATGAGTTCTAACTCTACTTTAAATAAATACAATGAGAATTATAAACAAAAGAAATCAGGGGAGCCCAACTGCAATAAGCTTAAAAAAATACTGCGTAATGGCAACAACATTCAGCTCAGTAAAATGTGCCATTCTCATTCTGAAGAGCTCATTAAAAAGGAACCTCTATCAGATACAAGCCAGTGCATGAAAGATGCACAAATCACTTTGGATGCAAATCTAACCAAAGATACGAATGTAGATAAAGCCCAACTGCAAAACTGTAAACAGTTCCAAAAGAATGCACTTTTGGATAAAGTTACTGATGCTGACATTAAAAAGGGTTTATTGTACTGTGCTCAAAAGAAAACTGGACCTGGCCTCTCAAATATGCCTGATAGTTCCTCAGCTGCTGAGAAAGAGCAGGAAGTCAATGCTCGTTTACTTCACTGTGTAAGCAAACAGAAAATTTTACTTAGCCAGGCTAGAAGAACTCAGAAACATTTGCAGATGCTCCTGGCAAAGCATGTTGTTGAGCACTATGGTCAGCAAATGAAATTTTCTATGAAGCATCAGCTGCCCCAAGTGAAGAGTTTTCATGAGCCTACCAGAGTTTTGGATAACAGTTTACCAACACGCACTGAAATTAAGCCAGAAGTCAACATATTGACTGCAGAGAATAAACTGTGGGATGATACACAAAATGGCTTTACTCGGTGTACGGCTGCAGAAATCCAGAGATTTGCACTATCTGCTACAGGGCTGTTGTCTCATGTTGAAGAGGGTCTGGATTCTGATGCAACTGATAGCAGCTCTGATGACGATTTGGATGAATATACCGTTAGAAAAAATGTGTCAGTGTAAGTGCAAAATTATTACTAGACCTTTTCCTGTTCTGTACATAGCAGCATTTGGTTTCAAGATATGCTAGAAGGAAATAGATTTTCTAAAATCTTAATGCCATTATCTTAAAGTTATAAAAGTTGCGTGAATTTTTACAACGTTTCCTTTGCTAAGCCACTGTGTGTATGTCGGATCTGCAGAGGATTGCTTTCAGGACGTTCTGCAGATAGAAGTACAAATATGTTATACAAAGCTGTGCAGTATTGGCACATACGCATATCCTCTTGTATACCTTAAATCATCTCTGGATTACCTATAGCAGCCAGTGCAACGTAAGATCCGTGTAAATAATTGCTATAGTGTATTTAGGGAATAATGACAAGAAAGAAATATGTACAAAAGTCTGTACAATTTTTTTCCTGAATACTTGTGGTATGTGGTTGGAATCCTAAGGTGCAGAATCTGTTGATAAGAAGTCTGACTGCACATACTATTGAAAAATAATTTAGCTGTTCTGTTTTGGAAAACACATGCAAAAGTAATAATAGTAATTAGCTATACATAAGCTTTTTTCCTGTTTTGAATATAATAAAGGCTGAAATCTTTTGATTAAATGACCTAGCCATTAAGAATGGCCAAAACTAAAAAAACCTGAAATGTGCATATTGGAAGTCCTCATTGGTATTGGGGATTTATCAGATGAAAGTACATATGAATTTGTCTGTTACTTTTTAGAAACTATATATTCATTCATAGCTTTCAGCGTTGGCTTTTACCAACTCAATCACTTTTTGCTCATTTAATAAAACTAAAATAAAACTTCAGTGTCAACCCTAAGATACCTGTGGGAGGCTTAATTTTGTACTAGATGCTAGAGGTTCTGTTGTAGGGAAAATACTTAACATTTGCTCTTTTTGGCAATTACTTGAGACAGAAATATTTAAGTAATTTTTAAAATGCAGAGGAAAATGTTTTAATTGTCACGCTGTCATAACCCTCCAAAATAGGTCTGACCAACAGAAATTTGTGAGATACTGGAAATTTTGTATATTTATCTTACCCATTATCCTGTGTGGCTGCCAACATCTTGAAATTTGGTTGGTGATAATGAGGAATTGAATTTTAAATATATTTAATTTGACTTAATTTTAATAGAGAGCATAGTTTTTAGTCTCACTTTCAGGGAATCTGTTGATGTCTCCAAATTGATATCAGTTACTTACAGAAATACATCACTTTTTCAGATTCTCAAAAATGAGTAAGAATCGAAGTACAATCCAGGGCTGGGGATTTAGCTCAGTGGCAGAAGTGCCTGCCTGGCAAACACAAGGTCATGAGTTTGATTCCTGGTACCAGAAGAAAAACAAAAAAACAAACAAATGAAGTACAATCCAAACTCATTAGTTTTTACTAAAAAATACCAGACCAGCATTTTCATGGTGAGAAGTGAAATGTAACACACAGTGGGCATTCTATTCTCTTTCTGTTCTAATTTCACTGTAATTAAACTTGGATGAATGTGGAAGTTGTAACAGTTACACAGATTTTTTTGGCTGGCATTCTCATTCTGCTGGATACTTACACATGTTCTCTCATCTAAGTCTTCTGACAGCTGTGAGATGGAATTTTTAATATCCTTGTTTCATTTAACACAGTCGGTATGGGTAGGTAATTTGCCTGTGACTAAAAAGCCAAATAAGTTGGTAGAGCCGGGATTTTGCCCATATGCATGTGACTCTAAACCCATGCTTGTTTTCATGTATAGTGATACTTTCTCAACATTGTGACTTGTTATTATAGCTAGAAAAATGGTGAGGCACCTATGTTTTGAAAGAAGCTCAGAAATACATCAGTTTTTGTATTTAAAATACTTTCAAAAGGAATTCAATGCCATACAGTTTAGTAGGTTAACTTGACAAATTTACTTTTTTGTTGTTGAGTGGAGCTAAAGGCATGTTTGTCTCTTTTAAGCTAGAAAGAGAAATAAGAAAATTAGAACTTCCTAGACTATTTTGGTCTTGATGCTATGTTTATTAGTATTTGTTTTCATTGTTCCTTTGTATTCTCTAGTCTGCCATACATTTTATTATTAAATCATATCTTATTCTATATGGGTTCCTAATATAGCTATTACTCACAAAAAACCTAACCTCTACTAAGGGTAGAAACTACTTTCAGTACTTTCTGTTAATTTCTTACATCCTATATATGTAATTACTGATTGGTTAAAATTTTGTTTTAAGGTTTGCATTTACTCTTTCACTGAAAGAACACGAACTTCAAACATTTGTATAAAACATACATAAATGGGGAGATCCGAAATATGAAAAATATTTTATACAAAACATCAAACAATATACTTTCCATTTCTTTTCTTGTCAGCTCTGTCAATGTATTGAGCAAAACTGAAGTAATTTAGAAAAAGCTGTGTCCTGGTTTAGAAAGTTTTTCATATTGTCTTTTGTCTCTTAGTCAACTCAAGGGGCTTTGTGAATTCTAGACACAGATTGTAGGAAAAAGAGTCTAAGAAATTTAACGTTGGTTTCTAGCTTCTTGAATTATTGACCTTTTAGTATATGATGACTTGTTTATTAATGCCTATATCTGTATTTTTAGAGTCAAACTGTGTTCTAGGGTCAAAATCATCTAATATACATATAAATAATAAATTTTCTATAATGAATAGTTACTTATATTACTCAGAGACTGAATTATTTGATACTTGCTTAGGCTTTACTTGCTTATTTTTGCTACTCAAAATTCACATATTAGGTATTAAATTTTGTTTTGAATATTTTTGCTGACATTAATAGATTTCATGTGGAACAGATTCTTCAACATTTAACTAATTTTGAAGTTTACTGAACTTTGATAGCAAGTAACATATGTAATTCTCTTATCTTTTGGTATGAGTATAAAAATGATTTTATTTTTCTTAAATTGGATTTAATCATTCAATTTCAGTTGTTAAATTCATTTAAAATGTATAATATCCAGAGTTTATTTTTTTCTTTTCAAGTTTTAGTGTTTTCTTCACTACATTTGTGGAAACTAATTTTTCAAATGTAGATGAATATTTTAACCTGTACATGTCAGAATTAAACATAAACTACTGCATAAAACTACATTTTTGTGGACCTAAATTTTTAAGTGAGTGCTACCATGATTAAATTTTCTTTATCTCTACTGACTGTGAAGACTTCTCAGCTTAAAATCATGGGTTCCATAGTGGCAACTACTAAAGCTGACTAAACTTAAAGTATTTTGAGAGCAAGGGCTACTTTTTCTGTTGTTGTAGATCTGCTGCCTAGTATTATCTTGTTTGGTGGTGGTTTGCAATTTGTTGAGTGAATGGATGAGTATCTCTATCAATGCATATGTAGATTCATACATTTGAAAAATTGGGGTTGGCAGTCTGTAAAATTTCTCTATATACATTTGATCCTCTCTATCCATGGGTTCTGTATTTATAGATTAAGCCAACCATTGACAGAAATACTTGAAAAATAACTGCATGTGTATTGAATATGTACAGATTTTCTCCTTGACTTTATTCCTCAAACAATACAGTTTAACAACCATATTTACATTGTACTAGGTATCATAAATAATCTAGATATGATTTAAAGTATATAAGAGGATGTATATATACGTTATATGCAAATACAATGCCATTCTATACAAGGGACTTGACTATCTGGATTTTGCTCTCTATAGGGATCTTGAACCAGTGCTCCATGGATACCAAGGGATGACTGTATATGTTTTTTAATTCTTTCATTCTGGAATTGCTACTTGATGTCACTTTCCCTCCTTCCGTTGGCTCTAATACTAAACTGGCTGCCAGAGTATTTTGTACATCTTAGATACTGCATGAAAGTGTGTGTAAGGAATGAATGAATAAAGTATGCCAAAATACAGACATTAAAAGTAATGGTTTTATTATAATATTTGCAATTTTTAAATATCATTAAATAAAACGTATTATATTTGCCTTAAAAAACTTAGATTATATTATTATATGTCTTCTATTTTTCTTGAATTTATAACCCTAATAGGAAATATGAATTCCTTTACTGTGGTCAGGTAATTAACATTTCTACTAGCCATTACCAATACATTGTTGTTTTAAGTATGTATTTGAGTTGTCCCTTTACTTTCCCTCCAAAAATACAGGCAGGACATAAATCCTTGCAGGTGTTCTTGATACACTTTAAAAATAACTCTTAGTTGAATGGGTAGTATGTACTAAAAGTCAAGAAAATTGATTTCATTCAGGAAGGATTTAGGAAGGTTTGATGTTTTTTGTAGGTTTGAGATACAGGTTTTTTTTTTTTGGTTTTTGGTTTTGTAAGTTTGTAATATGAATGGTTTTTTCCCTTCAATGTTTGATACTCAAAACAAGCGAAAAAGCTCATTTTTTTTCTGGAAATAATTGCATTATAACCCTGGCTTGCTCTGTGACCCTAAGCAAGATTACTCTTAATCTTTCTAAATCAGATTCCTTTTCTCTGATTTACTGTAAGGAGTCTGGCGATAATCAGATGGAATATTAAAGTGTCAGTACATAATAAGGCATCAGTAAGTCAGCTAATGAAGAGTATACTACCAAATAATTTACTGTTGGGTAGACTGGGGCTTAATACTACTGGGAGAAACTTGTGACTGTGAATACATACCTCCATGGTAACCCATGTGAGAGGTAAGGAACAGGCATAGTTCCCGTCAGTTTTTGACTGCAGGCAGCTCTATTCTGCCAGTTGGGTGGCAAAGCAGTCAAACAACAAGAACAAAAAAAGGCCCTCAGTCAAGAAATGTAGACGTTGGCAGTTGGGAAATCGGTGTATTGAATTGGTTAAATACAAGGGGATGTGGACGGGTCACTAATAAGGGTCAGCTACTATTATTTTTTTTTCACCTGGTATTAAGGCCTTAGAATTCTAGCCTGGTGTTTCATATCACATAACTACCTCAGATGCTGAGGGAAAAATACCTACCATTTCCCCAAATTGGTCTC